GTCCCATCCCCATTCCCGTCCCCGTCCCTGTCCCCGTCCCTGTCCCGTTCCCTTCCCGTCCCGTCCCTGTCCCCATCCCTGTCCCCCATCCCCATTCATTTTCCCCGTCCCTGTCCCCGTCCCTGTCCCCATCCCCGTCCCCGTCCCCATTCCTGTCCCATCCCCATCCCGTCCCCATTCCTGTCCCATCCCCATCCCGTCCCCATTCCTGTCCCTGTCCCCATCCCGTCCCCATTCCTGTCCCTGTCCCCGTCCCCATTCCTGTCCCTCCCCATCCCCATCCCTGTCCCATTCCCATCCCCATTCCCGTCCCCATCCCCGTCCCATCCCTGTCCCCGTCCCCGTCCCGCAGCACGCCGCTCTCTCCGAGTATCGCCCCATCCTGCCCGGAGCGCCGGCCCTGCAGCCCCCCGCCAGCGTGGCCGACAAGAAGCTGATCCTCATCCCCATCATCTTCATCTTCCTGCGCATCTGGAGCACGGTGCGCTTCGTGCTGACGCTCTGCGGCTCCCCGGCCGTGCGGAACCCGGTCCTGGTCGTGCTGCATGTGAGTGGTGGCCGGGAGAGGCGTCCCGGGCCAGGTCGGCTTCGGGGCTCCCGGTGCGTTTTCCTGCTGGGACGGGGAGCTGCGAGAGCTCCCGCTGCCCTCGGGGGATGCTGGCCGCAGCAGCGCTGCAGCAGAGGCAGAAGTGCAGCGGGAGCGGCTCCAGCAGCATCTAGCGGCTGCAGAGGAAAGCTGCACTGGCAGGGAGGGACCGGGACGATGTTGGGTGTCCCTCCTCCAGCAGGGCTCAGCCAGCGCACAACAGCCCTCCGCTCTGCTTTTGGGTGCTTTTTGGGGAAAACCAGCTGATTTCAATGTGCCGCGGTGTTTGCTGCTCTCTGGGGCAGCCCCGGGTGGTTCCCTTCCCGCAGGGCAATGGGATTCCTCCTTGCAGGGAATCGGGAACACGTTCCAAGGAGGAGCCAACTGCATCCTGTTCGTGCTGGGCACGCGGGCGGTGCGGGCCCGGCTGCTGGCCCTGCTCTGCTGCGGCCGCCGTGGCCAGCCGGCCTGGCCGGGCCGGGGGTCCCCCGGCCCCCGGCAGCAGCCGCAGCCCCGCGGCGACAAGGACGTGCCCGACCCCGGGCGGACCAAGCCGCTGCTCCCCAGCACCTGAGCTGGCCCCGGATGCTGCTGGTTGCTTCTCTCAGGGTAAAAGTCCAGAGGAAAGCTTTCCTCCTGCCCTGCCTGTGCGCCCCTGGGAGGGCTGGGGACAGGGAGCAGGGACACGGAGCAGTCAGAGGGGACAGGGACAGGGAGCAGTGAGCAGTCATAGAGGACAGGGACAGGGAGCAGTCAGAGGGGACAGGGAGCAGGGACATGGAGTAGTCATAGGGGACAGTCATAGGGAGCAGGGACAGGGGACAGGGACATGGAGCAGGGACAGGGGACAGGGAGCAGTCATAGGGGACAGGGACAGGGAGCAGTCACAGGGAGCAGGGACAGGGAGCAAGGACAGGGGACAGGGACAGGGAGCAGTCACAGGGAGCAGGGACAGGGACATGGAGCAGTCACAGGGGACGGGAGCAGGGACAGGGAGCAAGGACAGGGGACAGGGACATGGAGCAGTCACAGGGAGCAGGGACAGGGGATAGGGAACAGTCATAGGGGACAGGGAGATGGAGCAGGGAGATGGAGCAGGGACAGGGATAGGGGACAGGGACAGGGAGCAGTCACAGGGACAGCGACAGGGAGCAGTCACAGGGACACAGAGCAGTGACAGGGAGCAGGGACAGGGAGCAGTCACAGGGACAGGGAGCAGGGACATGGAGCAGTCACAGGGACACGGAGCAGTGACAGGGAGCAGTCCCGGGGGGCTCTCCTGTGCCCTGGGGGTTCCCTGTCTGGCCCTGCAGCCCCACCACGCTCCCAGAGCATTCCCAGAGCCAGGAGCTGGGCTGCAGGGCGGGCACCAGGCGGAGCTCAACAGGACCTGGTGGCTCTTTTCAGTGTGAAGTGCCTCCTGCACCCACATTTTGTCAGTGCTGCGCTGATCAGATGTTTGGTGCCCCAAATTCTCCCCACAGGGGGATGCCTCTGTGGGCAGAGGTGACTCCTGTTCTTTCCTGAAGCCTTGGCATCCACTTTATAATTATATTAGTATATTTAAACCCTAATGTGCACAGGCTGTGGCAACACCCATGAGCCCATTTCATGGGCTGCAGGCTGGCTCTGCTCCTCAGCCTCCCTGGAGTCTTTGAAAGGTAGATGGAAGCATCTTCTCTGTGCCACAGATGACTTCAAGAGTTGTTTTTTCTCCTTTCAAAAGGCTTTTAGAAACTTCTGAAAGCTAAATAGCAACCTTGCTAGCTCAACCTCTTGTGAGTCCCACAAGGCTTGGAAAGAGGAGATGTGTTAAACGTCTTGCAGAAAGGTAGGACAGAAATGTTTAAATTTTATGAGACTTAGTATCATGCTGTGTTCAGTTTTTTTTGGAGCCAGTCCTGAAGAGAGAAAGCAGAATTGTTACCAGCTTGGCTTAAGGGAGGACAAAACAGCAGAAAAAAACAACACCAAAAATAATCCAACCAGTTCCGTGTCCTCAGTTCACCTTTTTCCACTACAGAGCTCTGAGAAAAGCTTTTGGGGGAGTGGGCCAGGGTTACATTTCCAGCTCCAGGGCTGTGACTGTGCCTCGTTCCTGCGGGTGTGGGGTGGTGGCACAGCCCTGCAGTGTCACTGTCCCTGCAGGTGCAGGGTGTCACTGTCCTGTCCCTGCAGTGTCCCTGTCCCTGCAGTGTCCCTGTCCCTGTCCCTGCAGGTGTGGGGAGCTGGCACAGCCCTGCAGTGTCCCTGTCCCTGCACTGTCCCTGTCCTGTCCCTGTCCCTGCAGTGTCACTGTCCCTGTCCCTGCAGGTGTGGGGTGGTGGCACAGCCCTGCAGTGTCCCTGTCCCTGCAGAGTCCCTGTCCTGTCCCTGTCCCTGCAGGTCAGGGAGCTGGCACAGCCCTGCAGTGTCACTGTCCCTGCAGGTGCAGGGTGTCACTGTCCTGTCCCTGCAGTGTCCCTGTCCTGTCCCTGCAGGTCGGGCAGCTGGCACAGCCTTGCAGTGTCCCTGTCCCTGCAGTGTCCCTGTCCTGTCCCTGACCCTGCAGTGTCCCTGTCCTGTCCCTGTCCCTTCAGGTCAGGGAGCTGGCACAGCCCTGCAGTGTCCCTGTCCCTGCAGAGTCCCTGTCCTGTCCCTGTCCCTGCAGGTCAGGGAGCTGGCACAGCCCTGCAGTGTCCCTGTCCCTGCAGTGTCCCTGCAGTGTCCCTGTCCTGTCCCTGTCCCTGCAGTGTCCCTGTCCCTGCAGTGTCCCTGTCCTGTCCCTGCAGGTCAGGGAGCTGGCACAGCCCTGCAGTGTCCCTGTCCTGTCCCTGTCC